AACTATAACTTATGTTTAAGTTCATTATCGTTATTATGAACCAATAAACAAGATTTATCAGTGATTCCAAGTCGTTATACTGATTGATCTACTTACGGGGATGATGTCTAGGCTGTGATTTAGTGAGGTGTTTAAAGTGGGATTTCCAAATAGTATACTTCGTATACCAAATGGATCCTACCTCTGATATGATCTTACATGGTTGTTCCTTACTTGATAGATCATGAAAGTAGACTTTGAGTTAATGATGAATCTAGACTAATAATTAGTCGCAATGAATATTAGACTAAGAATTAATAATAATGCTACTAGGTTTCGTCAAAGGAAAAGACAATTGTTAGAAGCGAAGCGCTGACCGAATTTCGAATCATCACTTTAACATGTGAGTACATTGTCCCTTTTTATGAACATGATTTTAGTATGAGTATTATTTAATGTATTAAGTACCTGTTAAGGAGTTTATATGTGAGTGCATAGTCCCTTTCATGAATATGATTTTAGTATAGGTATTAATTAATGTATGAAGTATCTATTAAGGAGTTTATATGTTAGTGCATAGTCCATTTCATGAACATGATTTTAATACAAGTATTAATTAAAGTATTAAATATACGTTTATGTGTGAGATATTTGATATTACCTGAAATACGTGTTAAGAGTATATCTGATAATATATATGATGATTTAGGACTTACAGAATAAACCTAAATTAATTAAGATGAATATCGGGTAGTATCTCCTTATGAGTACGGGTGCGATATACACGAATAGTAGAAATTTAAAATGTGTCATTAATCCAAGAGCATGACTTAGACATGGTCATTTGTCCCTAATCCGAGAGTATGAAGTGGGCATAGTCATTTGTTATTGATCCGAGAGCATGGATTAGATATAGTCATTCGTCCCGAGAGTATGGAGAGGGCATAGTTATTTGTCATTAATCCGAGAGCATGGATTAGACATAGTCATTTGTCCCTAATCCGAGAGTATGGAGTGGGCATAGTCATTTGTCATTGATCTGAGAGCATGGATTAGATATAGTCATTCGTCCTTAATCCGAGAGTATGGAGAGGGCATAGTTATTTGTCATTAATCTGAGAGCATGGATTAGACATACTCATTTATCCCTAGTCCGAGAGTATGGAGTGGACATAGTCATTTGTCATTGATCCGAGAGCATGGATTAGATATACCTGATCCGGGAGTATGGATTAGGTAACGCCGTTCATTTTAGATCCAAGAGTGTAGATTGTGTCATTGTGAGGATCGACGGGGGTGGGGTAAATTGATTATATGAGGTGAAATTGTATATTGCGAGTTCTAATATATATATATATATATATATATATATATATATATATATTTTGAAACATCCTAAAAATACTAGCCAAAAATTTCGTTTTCAAAATCATTTAGCAAACATAAATATCATCGCCATAGTATAAAATCATGGAACATGTATCTCAAAAATCTCATAAAAACTGTTATCAAATCACAATCTCATATAAAATATCAGAGTAAACTCCTAGGCTAAGAAAAACTGTGGTGTGTGTCATGCCATCATCCCGAGCTCTTCCCCTTGCTAGCTGAAGTACCTGAAACCAAAACTGAAACTGTAAGCGCGAAGCTTAGCGAGCTCCCCCAAACTACCACATACCATACAATAACACATATAACAAATACTGGGCCTTGCCCACTACATCGGGCCCCGCCCGGCATCGGACCGAAGTCCGGCATAAATTGGGCCCCGCCCACTGCATCGGGCCCTGCCCGACATCAGACCAAAGTCCGACATGAATTAGGCCCCGCCCACTGCATCGGGCCCCGCCCGACATCGGACCTAAGTCTGGAATAAACTGAACATAACATAAGCATAAACATATAACATAATCACATATACTGCATCGGGCTTACCCGACATCGGATCGAAGTCCGGAACATATAACACATAACATAAACATGCATGAATCACAAAGACATCAAGCATACATAGCTACTTCTCGGGACCACCCCGGCATCGGACCGAAGTCCGGAACTACTATCATCTAAAGGGGCCGGCATTGTGGCCGTATACCCGTTCCTACTGGAAGGAAACTCACCTCGTATGGCTGTCTGCTGAAAAACTGGGTGAGGGATCCCTATCTGCTGCTCCGGCGACTCTCCGGCTATAATTCCATAACAACACTTAATCAAAAACTGATAATCTCTCTTAGGGTAAAATGACCATTTTACCCTCCTGATCAAAGTCAACGCCAAGGTCAAAGTCAACTCTCAGTCAACCCAACTCGCCGAGTCCCTCTACCGACTCGTCGAGTTCAAACGGTCACAACATCGGGACATCTCGATTCTACTCATCGAGTCTCTCCTTGGACTCGTCGAGTTCTTTTGTTTCCGAGTCTCACTCATGTCCAACTCGCTGAGTCATCTCCTTAACTCAGTGGTTTCACTCATAATCAAAGAAGGGTTTGGGGAAATCGATCTGACTCGTCGAGTCCCAAGAACAACTCAGCGAGTCCATTGCATGCTCAGATTATACAGTTGATCCTAGGTGATTCCACTGTCTCTAATTCATAGATTTAGACTCCTTAGGCTAGAATAACACGTAAAGTTGCTAACTTTACGTGCATGCATGATGCTATGAAGCTAAATCATCCAGAACAAGCTAGAAATGAGAGTCTAGGGCATAAAATGGGATCTTGGCTGAATAAAGGTGGTAACTTTGAGCTTCTGGAGCTCAAGAGTGCCTAGATCTAAAGTCCTTACAGTCCCAAAAGCTCTCTACCCGAAATTAGCTTGGAAAGGACCCAAAAGTGGCAACAACCAAGCTTTCATGATGATCTAAGTGAAAATAAACCAAGGTATAAACTTTATACCTTCACGAGCTCTGAAATGCAACAAAAACTCTGGATCTCCTGCCTCTTCTTGAATCACCAATAGATCTCTTCCTTCTCCTAACTTCAAATCACACAAAAATTGCAAGAAAGGCTTTAAGACACTCAATGGTTGCTAGGGTTTCGAGAATGGACTGTGGAGGTGATGTAGGCTGGGGTGAAGACTCATAATGTTGCTTAAATAGGGTGCAAACCCTAAGGATTAGGGTTTCCTCCTGATGGACCTACTCGCCGAGTCCATTTCTGACTTGTCGAGTAGTCCACTTAAACCCCACGGTTCAGCTCGCATCTACTCGACGAGTTAGGGCTACCAACTCGTCGAGTAGCTCTTATAAAATAAACATTTAGAGAATTATTTTCGTACCAGGAATGGGGCGTTATATATATATATATATATATATATATATATATATATATATATATATATATATATATATATGTTATAACATTATGGGATTGAAATCCACATGTTTCTCAACCTGACCCACTCAGTTTATTGTATCACAAGTAGCGACATTAAAGATACATTATGCTGATGGATTCAATGAGATGTAGATCATTAATGTAAACTAATGTAAGGTCTGTTTATGCTTATGTTTCTGTATTGACGATAACATCCCAGTGTTTTAATATAAATAAAATATATTTCTTCGGAAATGCTTTGATAATATCATTATCATGTTTTCTGAAAACAAATTCGGCAATATTATTCTTCAAAAATGATACTTTGATTTTAAAATAAGTATAAATAAAATTTTTAAAATGATCGTGAATTTGGGGATCTCACAATAATGGCTTAAATAAATAAAAGAGAATCAATAATTAATAGTTAAGTTGTATTTATAAGAATACATATTTCGTAATGTTTTTTTGTTTTTCTAAAAATGACATAATAAAATGAATATTTTCAAATATTTATAAGAATATAATAGTTATCATTCAATAATACGACCATAATAAACTAATTATATTATTTATAAATTAGTTATTGAAATATTAATTTATAAAGATATTAGTTACCCAAATATTAATTTATAATATTATTAGTTACCAATCTTATTATGAAAACAAAAAAAAGTAAAATAAAAAATTAGAGTAAATGAATTTAACGCTTCAAAAGTCACTTTAAGTGTATTCACATTCATAGTTTGAGACATTGCAATCTAATCAAATATATTATTATTTTACCGTTATAATTTGTGTGATTATTTTAATCTGACAATTAGTTAACTAAAAGAAGTAGTCATCGATTACAACATATCACAATCCAAGTCCTTACTTAATCCATCATTTCCATTAACTTTGTCCCTTCAATATCTATATTTACAAATATAGATACTTATTAAATAATCATCGGATTGTTTGAAGTACAACAAGACTTATCCTTTTGACAATTTTAGAGTGGATATTGAAGATCATATTGTCTTTTTAGATAATAAACTTTTTTAAATGATCTTATCTTTTTCTATGTTAGACATATAATCAATACGAAGCATAAATTATCAGAGCATACGGTGTGGGTCGTGTTGCTTCTTGTTGTGGCTGACTTGGCAGCTCATAACGTCGTTATAACATCAAAAACACCGCCCCCTCTCCTTGTTGCATCTTGTTGTGGTGCTTATTGTTGTCTCCATGACAAGAAGAAACGTGATCACCTATTGGCCCAAATTATCTCTCTATCTTTCTCCTCTTAACATGGTGTTATAACACCATGAACATCACCCCATCATCTTGTTGCTTCTTGTTATAACACCACTTCAAGTTGCCCATACCATATGCTCTCAAAGAAATACATAACACTCAACACCGAACATCGGTCGTTGGAATCCTCAATAAGATTCTAATTTTACCCGCCAACAGTTTTATTAAAAAGAACAAAGAACAAAATGCTAAAAATAAATAAGACGGGAATGAAGGTTAAAGGTTACACATCCAATAAACCCATCTAATTCTAGCCTTGAATCTATTATTTATCAATAAGTTTCTAGTTAAAAAAACTATATTTTTATGGGTTATCAAGTGATCATCACTGTTGTTGTATGAAACACTTCAAAATAAAGTTGACTCAATTTTGGATCTCACATATTTCAATGACCAATAATAAAAAATAAAAAAAATAAAAAAAAAACTATTTCTTTCCGTTTGACGGTATCGACCGTTTAACAAACTCTTTCCCTAGCCTATCAAACTTTTTGCTTGATCCATAAAAATCACAAGAAAACTAAGGAAATTGTCATGACCCAGTTTAGAGGTGTAATAATTAGCTAAATATCATTTACCATTACCAAAGAGGCCAGACAGGGAAGCCAGTGGATAGCAACCAAGTCCAACCATTGATAAAGCTTCCAACAGTGAAAGGTATAGCCTCAATTTTATTCTTCATCACACCCCAACCTTTCCACTTTACCCTCTTTGACGTATCAGCCCCAGGTCCCGTGTTTTGGTACTCTCGATAATACAAAGTGTCTAGTGCGAAAGTTCCCTTCCAAGGGGACCATCCTGCAGGATCTATCACGTCACTAATTAATGATCCCATGATCACCGTTCTTGAATAGTTCTTCCATGGCCTTCCAAGGTACGTTTTAAAATTGGCTTTAACTTGTTCTAGGTCGGAAGTTGCACCGAGTTTGCACTTCTGAATGATGAGCCCAGTGTTTTGATGAGGATCAGTTCGGCCTTGAGCAGTGAGCATGTTTCCTTGGTTAGGATCAGGACGACGAGCGAGGATGTTACAAAATTGGAAGACAGCTGCAGCATTACCAAAAATGAAATCAACAGTGCCGACAATCATGCAGTTGACGAAGAACTGACGGCCGGAGGTGACATAAAGGGTATCTTGGTATGCGAGTATACCACATCTATAGAATGCCGATAAATCAGAACTAACACGTAGTGCCACGGCTTGATGTAACGCAGCTCCGGCTGAATTTTGAAATGTTATATCACGTGCCCAGAATCCTTTACCATTAACCGCTGTCGTCAATATATATGCATGCTACAATTCATTACTCCATCATATAACTGTTATGGTAAAACCATGCATGATTATGCTAAAAATTACAACAGGCCTACATGCAACATTGGTTGGTAAGAGCATCCACAATGCAGGTAGTATAAGATTGAATATGAGTTGAATGAAGTGTTGGTGATTACATGGTTGTAAAGTTGAATAAAAGAGTTGAATGATAATGAATGGTTCGAAAGAAATAAAGTGCTAATTAGGATTGAATAAGAGTTTAATGGGTTGTAGGCTGTGGGTATTGTTGTATAGGTGTTTAATGGATGATATGACAATCCATTGAACTCTAATAGATAGTGTTCAAAGAATTGTAGATTCCCTAAGGGTGTTCTTTGATATAGAAGTTTTTGGATTTCTAAAATATTATTGCTACTTAGGATTATATAAATTAAAATGTCTTTTTACTTATGAGAGCATTTACAATACATAGTTTAATGCAAAAATTAAATGAGATTCAATTCAATGGATTAAACTCAACAAAGAACTAAATGTGAATACAATGTTGACCTTTAATATGAATATGAGGTTTAACAGATAAAAGAAAAACTTTTATAAATTTAAAATAAATCTTTTATTTAACTTTTATATGGTTCAATAACTATAGGGGAAAAAGTAGATTTTGTATCAAAATACGGTCTATTAAACATTATATAGTTGAGTGAATATTAATATGTATATACAGATTATGTTATATGTTATTTCTAAAAACCCAAGGATATATATTCGACCAAAAACAAGAAAAACACATGCACAAAGATTGCGTACACTAACCTACGGTTGCGGATTTCCAGGTTGTGCTGCCGCCGCCGACGCTCATATTCCCAGTAATAATCGTGTTATTTCTATTGGCCCCAATAAACATTAAGTTGGTTTTGTTTTTTGGAATTTCAACATACTCCCTGTACACCCCTGCCAATATCTTTATCACGTACCTGCTTTTGCTACTGAATGGCGCTGCCTTCACGGCTTCGGCCACCGTAGTATAGTTTCCCTTACCATCCTTCGACACAATCACGTTTGGCCTCATTACTTTCCCCCACAATAATCTCCTGTCTTTCCTAGACAACCACTCCTGCCGCCTCATCAACTTTTCCTCCTTTAGCTTTCGTACATTCGACTCTGCCTGCTGGTTGTTGGCCATATCTGTGTCTGTCATGTCCGTGATCATAGCAAGAACATTGCTACACATCTTACCCCCGAGATCCTGACCTTGAATAATGTATTTGCGCAAATGATGGCAGGCTGCATCGTGGGATAGGCCGTCCAAGCAGGCTTCCTTGTTGGTAATGGTGGTGCTCATGAGGGTTTTGAGGTCGTTGGCTTGTTCCTGAAGGGATTTCTTGCTTGGATATGCCTCGAGGTCTCGGATCACCATGTCGAGATCTTCAAGAGTTCCAGCTATCATCTCTAAGCAGTCATGGAGTGCGATTTTGCCGCGTTTGGTGAGATTGACAGTGACCATGAGCTTCTTTATGGTCATGAAGTTTTCTTGGATGATCTCTTTTGTTTTATGGATAGCAAGTTGGATTACATCCTTTCTAGTTGCAAGGTTTCTGGTGGAGGAGAGTGTAGAATAGCATATGTCTGGGTATAAGGTTATGGCACACGAGGATTTGATAATGTTGGAGTCTGAACGATGAGTTCCAAGGACAGGAGAAGTTAGCAGGAGGGTAGCAAAAATATATAAAAGCGTGTGGTTTTTGGTGTTGGAGTTGGACATAGTGACACCAACTTGTTTGATTGTTATATTACCATGTACTACTTTACGAGTGGAAGTGTGCGTCTGTGTGTATGTCTATATATATTATTGTTTATTTTCAAGAGCATATTTAGTTCTATTCAATTAGTAAACTAGAGCTGTTGGTAAAATATATTGAATAGGAAATAGAAAACCAAGAGCGTAGAAAGGAGGGTGGAGGAAAAACCACAAAGGAAGTTGCATATAACGTCCATAAGATATTTCTTTTAATGTACACACATTTAATCCATATGTCAAAAGGGTAGTTATATGTTGAATATTTTATTTCACTAATCCATTGTGGTTGTTTAAATTGTTTATGATGCAAATTGTAAATGTGTTATCAATATATATCAATTGTTTTGTTAATTTATAGGATCCTCCTTGTTTACTTATACCCACCTAATGCGCTACTCAACGAAGTACCCTAGCTAGACTCTTAACTTTTGTGACCGATATAATTATGTTCATTTTTATACAACATTTTAGTATTTTATTACTCATTTTCACAATATCTTGTGTATATTTAACATGTATATAATTTAATATTTTATATTTATGTTAGATTTTATATATTTGCAATTCAGGCATGTTATATTAGTTTTTGCATAATTTACATTCTTTTTATACTTTCAAATTATATAGCTTGTTGTAGACAATTTTACTCGTTTAAGTTATGTTATGCCACTTATGTGGATTTATGCAAACGGGTGATGATATTTTGAGCACCGATGAAGTCACATAGAAAGCCTTGCAACCACGCTTGAATTTCGTAGCAACATTGGTGATCAACCACAAAAACAAAGTGATATAAATAAATTTTCGGATTTTTGAGATTATTGTACGGTTTTGATCAAATGATTGGATTAAAGGGAGAACATGGTCTGGTCCGATTGAACTGAAATTTTACATGTAGACGTTTTCCTAATTTTAATCTTGACAGTGGAGATTAGATTTGGATTTTTGGATAACGATCTTATGAACTTCGTGAACTGATTTATTTAGCTTATATAGTCAGCCCATTTGTTGGTTTTGATAGCCCATCATTTAATTTAAATGATATCTAAATAGGCCCATGATGGTGGGATGCTTAACAGTTAACACGTTTCACGCAAAAAAGGGGGGATTTGGTTCTTACTTTTAGGGGATATAAACACATAAAACATTTTTTATCAAAAGGGGACACATTACACATACAGATCACGCATACGTATTTATAAGAGAAAAAAGAACGAGAGGGGCGACTTGAAGGATTTTTTAGGTTCGTGGCATCAAAACATCCGATTTTATTTCGTTTGCAAGTATTTAATTGTCGTTTCTGTTTAGTATTATGCATTTTCTGCCAAAGATTAGTCATTCCGTTTATAATTATGTGAATGACTTTGAATTTGCTACTTAAGTTGTTGATTATGTTTCTTTTTCCTTTTTATCTATATGATTTCCGTTAGAAAATCAAGTTTAGTTGTTGTAATTCTTTTTGAACTTGACCACCTCAATTAGGGTTTAGAAGATTGAATTGTTACGTTGATTGTTTGTTATGTAATCGACCATTTAATCGAATAAAGTAGCAAATAATGTTATTGACTTCATAATAGATGTTGATTGACATTATGACATTAATTGGTATAATTGTTGGTTTTCTGAGCTAATGAGAAAATCACTTGTGGTTGGTATATACGTTTGCACATTAATGCTATTCTCATATAATTATTGAGAGTTTGTTCGTTATGTAGTGAATTAGTTACAATTGAAGAACTTGTTTTAATTGGATAATTTTGTAACTTTATTGAAAAGATTGTAATAAAGTGCTATACAAATATGATTTATTATTTGATAAGCTCACTAATAAGTATGATCAACCTAAAAAAATATAAGAAATTATTGCACAGTCACAACTTATGATCATGTTTTTTCCAACAATTACATGATTATTATACGAATGACGATTAAGTTATTTTTGGTTTATACTTTTGTAAGTTGAATTAACACATCCAGATTTATAGTTTGAACTTGTTATGTAGTTAATTATATGATTTGACGTTGCATTTTTGTTTTAATATAGCACGTGTAGTTTTGTTTAAACTAAACATTTGAATTTTAACTTGGTTCATGTTGGTTGTTCGAATTTAGATTAGTTCTTAGAAGTTCTCCAATTCATGGAATTCGTAATTGTTTCGTAAATTAAAAATCAGTAACAAACATTGAATTTATTATACGAAAGAATTTAATGTCGATGTAAACTAGTAATTGCATGTTTTCATATTCCCTAACTTGTTTGGAGAAATTGACATTGTTACGGAACATTTGCATTAAACTTTATGCATTCTTTCAGTTATATTTAAGAGTGTGTTTATGTTTAATTAGTAAGACTATGTCTATATAAAAAACATGTTTTAATTAGATATTTTGGTGAGTAAAAATATGTTAGTTTGTTAGATTTTTAATACCAACTTAGATTAATTAGCTTGCACATTGATAGTTTAATTTATTTTCTTCTTTTTTATAGTTTATTTTTAGAATTTTTACCCCTTCTATTTTGCATGAGGTATTTTGTAGGGTTTTGGAGTCTCGATGCGGTTGTGGTTTGGCTTGGAGATGGGCTTGGTGGGCTTTCAAAGCATTATTGGGCTTTTTGGATCCATCAAAGAGGAATTGAGCTTAAAATATTGAAGACTTGGATGAAGTGGGCTTATGAAGATGGGTCATAGACTAAAGAAGATGGACTTGGACTATCCATTTGAAGCTTGAAGATGATTGGCCAAATTTCAATCATGTGAGGTGTGGATGAGACCAATGGAATCTTGAGTAGTGGGGTGGAGTAATGGAGAAAAAAAGAGCCAATAACTTTCCAGCATCGTTTGCGAGGGTGGAGTCTCAATCGCGTAAACTTGCGAGGGTACCCACGCAACCGCACACTTTAGGGCATTTTGGTCATTTTGCTCATCATTTACCTTGGGGTTAGGTTTGGCAGCCAGACTTCAATTTTCCACCATTAGAACACCATGGAGGCGATTTTTGAGAGCTTGAGCTACATTCTCCTCATCCTTCTATTAATTGTTAGTTTCTTGATGCAAAAACACTTTTGTGATTGTTATCTTGTCGTCATGAGTGACTAATCTCTTTATTTTGGTTGACTTGGGCTAAAACCCTTGGATATTTGTAGGTTTTGAAGGATTAATGCTTTATTGTCATTTATCTTATGTTTATGATTCTAGTTCATATTTCTTATGCTTGTTTAATACTTTGATCATGAGCTTAGAACTTGAATGAGCAATTGTTGGTTTATTTCTTTGATTTATCATTGAATCATTAAATTTGCTTAGAACAAGGGCTTTATGATGGTAGAAATCATCTCTAGCTTATGGATCATGACTTCTTTATGGATGTGTAAGTATTGACATCCTCCTGCAATTAGGGATTCCTTCATTCTTAAGGCTAATGAACTTTCTTGGGTTCAATTGCTTCAATTGAATCCTTGATTTTGATTAAGAAGGTGTGTTGTGGGCTTCCCTAACCTCCATACTACCTTTGAGGAATCTTGGCATATCATGCTTCATGATTGTTATAACCAATTTGGGATGAATAATAAGCTTCATACTGAATCCTAATGATAAACACACAAATGTTCATTGGGTTGATTTCCCTTGGTTGACCAATTCTCTCCAATATTTGAGCATCTCACCATCTTGCTTAATTGCAAGTATTTTAGTTCTTCAAGTCTTTTAGTTTTCAAACAATCACAAAACCCTCCCTTTTTAGTTTAATTGTAGTTAGTTAGTTTTATTTCACTAGTTCTATTGGATTGCATTGGTGATTGAATACAACCATTTCTCCGAGGATTGATACCTCTTTTTACCATTATATTATGTTTTATTTGCAAACAAAGGATGTAATTTGCTTAGTGGACTTGACATCCCACCAATTTTTGGCGCCGTTGTCGGGGAAATTGGTTATTGTTATTTGATTGTTTATTCCTAGGTCTACAAGAACCGGTGAACTACTCTACAATCCATAGATTGAAAAAGAAGAAAAAATGTTGAAAAAGTTATCCAAACAAGAAAAGCGACAACAACTCGTTTAAGCTTCTTCCTCTTCTCCACTAATAAACATAGAAGACCAAGTGCATACTTCAAGTGATACCGACACCGGGCCGAGTTCTCCAATTGCTGGTCATTTCTTTGAAGACGTTCCATTTGAAAAGTACATAGCCATGAATCAAACTCCACCCCACAATCCCAACCCAAACCTAAACAATTAAGATGCCAATACACCACCCTAACAACCAAGACAACAACAACAACAACAACAACAACAACACTAAGAACCTCTCATATATATGTCACCTTGGAATAAACCACCTCCTCAACCAAATCAACTCAATCATCAACAACCACAACCACAAAACCAAAACTTCCACCAAAACAGCCAACCTCAAAACAATGCTCTTCAAATTCAACAACAACAAGCACATCAACCACTACAACCCAATTACCAACAACCTCCAATGTACCAATACCTAATGTACCCATAACAACAAACCCCCTACAACCAATATCCTAACTACTAACTTTATCCACCACAAATGTATAATCACCAACAATATCCATACCCACCTTACCAACAACCTCCAAATTACATGCAACAGAACCCCAATCCACCCAATCCCCCTCAAGAGTTGACACTTAGACAAATGATGGAAAAGGATGTTACTCACAAACCTCTTGGTATCGTTTATCCTGCAAACTGCTGAGGGATTGAATTGAAGTCAAGTTTCATACATCAATTCACCAAGTTCCATGGTTTGGATAGAGAAGATCCTCAAAGGCATTTGAAGTCCTTCCATATGATATGTGTTAGCATGTTACCCTAACATGTGACATTGGATGATTTCAAGTTAACTGCGTTCCCACTCACCTTGGAAGATAAAGCTAGAGAGTGGTTATTCAACTTACCACCGGGATCTATTCACACATGGGAAGAGTTACTCAAAGCCTTCAATAACAAGTTCTATCCCACTTCCCGAATATCAAGTCAAAGGAG